CGTCGTGTTAGCGGTTAACAAATATTGTAGACGTTAACAGAAGTGTTAGTTGTTAACAATTATTTTTACGCTTCGCGTTAATAAATGTGTTCGCTGTTAACAAATATTGTAGACGTTAACAGAAGTGTTAACTGTTAACAATTATTTTTACGCTTCGCGGTAATAAATGTGTTGGCTGTTAACAAATATTGTAGACGTTAACAAAAGTGTTATATGTTAACAAATGTTTTTACGCTTCATGTTAATGAGAGGAAAGAGAAAGGGCATTCTCGGCATTTCCTTGCCAAATGGTTGTGTCAGTATCCTTCATGTCCAATCAATGGTATTTTGCTAATTTGAGCTTCAAATATGGGTAGTTCACTAAATCACTCTATAATGTATATCAAGTATCTTAATGATAAAATAAAGAAAATTTGTTATCTTTGTGTGAAAAGTTTAGTTAAACTTAAAAAAATATAATTTTTTTCTTTTCTTTGTGTGAAAAGAACACAAACCTCGCAATCATAAAATATAATCTTCATAAGAGCTGTTTTATTATTATAAATTTATAATAAAATATTGTGTTGATTGATTATGATAATAAACTCATAATTCGATTAATGTATATTATTGAAGTTGTATATTTGGACAAAACTTTTAATAGGTGTGATCAGCTAAAACGATGATTAGAGGTACTCCAAATAACAATTCTTCATTATTATTTTATTTTATAAAAATGTATAGATATATATACATTATCTCCTATTCCTCAACCCCAACCATTACCATTTATTCCAAATCAAAGTTCTGTCCAAATATAATTGTCTTTTTACAGAGTAACAATTATAAATCTAGTTCTACACACTCTTGAGAAAAACCAAGGAAAACAACTTAGTTTCTTTCACATTATAACGATCCGACTTGTTGTTGTTGGGATTAAGACTTTGTATTTTGATACTTGTTTTTGTATCAACTCATATCGAAGAACCAACGCATGTCAATGTTACCTTTAGCTAGGGAGATGCATGCAAGTTGTTTTTGATCAGTGTGTGATGAACTTTTGCATCAGCTTTTTGTTGACCTTGAAAGAAACTTTATTGAAAACCATTTTTTTTGAAAGAAAAACTATGTGACAACACATTTAACAACAGTGTTATGATGTCTTCTATAAGACAAATATTTCTCGAAAATATTACCACGACATTGCACAACAGTGTTATTTCAAAGATTGCAGAGAGTGATAGATTGTAACTCCATCTTTATTTGTCTTCTTCTATGTTCAGTCCTCCTCTGTTTTTTGCTTTTTCAAGTAAGTGGATTAGGCCATCATAGATTCGATGAAACTTCCAATAAAGCTCTGAAATTGCTTTCTATAAATCGTTTTATCTTTACATATACTCTTCTACTCTTTGTTATTTAAGCAATCATCTATCTTCTTCACAACACTAAGCATTAGAGTGAGAGTATAGAAATAAAAACTAAAGAATATGGGTTCTGAAAATTCTGTGAAGAACTACAATTCGGATGATAGTGATGACCCCTACACCAACGACAGTAATGAGGCCTCCATCTACGACGGGGATAGTGGTGACTCCAACTTAGATCGCAGCCACTATTTCCGAAACATGGATCTTGGATATTTTGTTGCTGAGCCACAACTGATGCTCGAGGACCATGCTAAGTTGAAGGAACTTTGTTTACAGCATCATAACATCCAAGCTTTCTACATTGAAGGGTTGTTACAATACTTTGTCCACAAGGAAGAACGCAGAGGTCTTCATCGTCTACGTCTAGCAGCTCTTGGAAACAACCAAAACGGTATGTTTGTTTATGGTTTGTTAATGCTTGTTCGAGGTCACTATTTTAAAGGCATTAAGTATTTGGATAAACTCAAGTGGTCAAAGAAAATGTCGACCTCTGATAAATGCTGGGAAAGTCTCAAGATCTCACTCAAAAATATCGATGTTCCTATACCGCAAGACTACTATATAAACATGGTTAACCTTTCCCCACGGTCAAAGTACGATCGTTATGACATGAAAGAGTTTTGAAAGGAGTGTTACTACTTCAAAAGGGCATATCAGTTTGTCAAAAATTACACTAATATTAGCTGAAAAACTCAAGGTCTGCTTGGTTGTTGTATTCTAGGTTTGTACTTGGTTCTTGTACTTTAAGGTCTGCTCAGTTGTTGTTACTTGCTTCAGTAATGTCGTGTGCTTGATGTTTTTATGCAATGTTATGAATGTAATGGTATGTTTGTGTTATTAATATATGCATGAATCAATGTTGTGTAAGGTACACATGTTTTTTAAGAGATAAAATATCAATCATAATATTTGAAAGGAAAAAGGGAAAAAAAATGTCTATCTGAATGTTTCTTGTAAAGTTTATTTCTCTTTAATGGTCAAAGTAGCAGATGGTTCTTCTTGGCCTCTTTACTCTCTTCTTGATCATCTATATTGCTGATTTTGTGGTTTTTCTGTCGCTTGGATCAAAGTAGTTGTATAACATATTCTCTTTAATGCTCAAAGACATACAAAATTGATTGAAGAATCAAACCGAAAGTAAAGGCTCCGATTTTATGTTTTCCACTGCGGATGGACAGTAGCAAGAAGTGTCAAAATAGAAGCTAAGGGAGAAGATCTGAAAGATTTGTTTCTTTCTAAACACAATTGCTAAACATAGCGGTTTTCAAAAATGTGTAATCATGGTAATGTTTGTAGACGGACAGGAGCTGAGTCATTCTAAGTAATTGCTTAACATAATGTTCACTTATAAACAATGAAGATCTGTTTTTCATTTCTCGTGTTTGTTTAGTTTATTTTTTAAAGTATCAAGTTAAAATAGTAAAGCTTTTGTATAAGATGTTGAAAATTGTGATTGAAACCAAAAAAAGAAAATGATAAAAGAGACAATATCTAATTGTGATTGGAAGAAATTTGGATACTCCCTTTTTTGATATCTTTTAAAGGTAATGAACTTATAATTTAAAGTGGGCCAAAACATAATATATACTATGGTCTTTTTTAATGGACCGTATAATAGGAAACATATTAGTCCGGGAAAGAAAAGCAATGTGAAAACCTAACTAACTGATGATCGACAAACTCTCATCATCGTTTTCTCTGCAATAGCCACCGACAGAACAAATTTGATTGAGATAGGAATTTCAGAACAGAGGAGATAAGCTTATGATTCATCCTTTCTTCGCTTCGAGGAATCTCTCCGATCTCATCAGATGTAAGTCTCTCTGGTTTTTTTTGTTTTTTATTTTTTATTTTTTGAAGAAAAGTTAAGACATCTTTATTAATGTATTAGCAAAAAAGGTGAGGCATAGACATGAAGGAGAGAGGTGATCATCAATTGTATCCTGACATAGCATAGGTGTGGCACACTGATCATGTAAGCTTGTTTAATGTACGTTTTCTGAGATAGCTATGAATCTCTCATATTTTTTATATATATATTTCTGATATAGGACGTCGTGAGTATAAAATACCAGTAATCAAAATGCAAAGGAAGATAACAACCATGACATGAAAACAAAGTTATTACACGGTTAGTAATCACTTCACTGCTGAAACTATTTACTTAGGTGAAAGAAAAGTAGGATTGTGAAGAATAAGTGGTTAGATTAGAGAACCCTGGTTAAGTTGATGTGGTTTTAAATTAATAAATTGAATGCATATCCATCTCGACAATCAAAATGATAACAATATCAAAACTTCGAAATATCCAAATATAAATAAGAAAATGTAAAGAAAATTACTATAGATCATCGGTTAAAGGTTGTCGAAAACTTCTTTGAAGACTACATTCTTAGTTTTTTTCTGTGATTTGCCATCTTCGTCTAAAATCAGAACTTTCAAACCCTTTTTTCGAAGTCACTCTAGAAACAACAACATATAACTGACCATGTGAAAGACGGGTCTTGGTAGATAAAGTCCTACTTGAAATAGTGATTGCCCTTGACTCTTGTTGATTGTGATTGCAAAACCCACAGCAAGAGGGAGTTGCCTTCTCCTCATTTTGAAAGGTAATCTGGTGTCAGAAGGGGTTATCAGCAATCTAGGAATATCCACCGTCTCCCCAACCCTTTCTCCTGTTATAATTCTAGCTTGAACCATAAAATCCATTAGCTGAGTTATTGCAGCCTTGTCCCATTCATTAATCCGTCGGTAGGAGCTATGTTTCTCAGAACCATAACAGGACAGCCAACCTTCAGTCTAAGAC